TTAAAAACCTGGGAAACAGAAGACTGTTCTAATGTTAAATTACTTGGGGGCTGATCGAGTGATGTTTTGCTTGAGACTGTCGATATTAATTATGCATCTAGTTTATTTGCTTCTTCTGTAGTTCCAATTTTAGTTCCCTGTAAAAGTAGGATGTCAATATTGTGTTTATTTATTATGTTGTTTATATAATGTGTTTTGTCCCTAGCCCCCCTGATGTTCAATGTTGCCAGAGTTAGCATGAATTATTTGGGGTTTTCTTTCGAACATCTGTTTCTGGAGGGCTGGATGGTGGTGGTCTTTTAATTCCAAACCTTCCAGCCGTTGGTTTGCTATCCCGTTGGGCCCTGGTCACGAACCTTTGAGGTGGCTTTACTGTAGGTAATTGATTTTTACTTGAACTGATTGCTTGACTATATGACAGTTGACCTGATACCTTTGTTGCTGACATACTTTGTGAGCTTTTAATTTCCTTTAGCGGTTTCGTTATGTTTTCTGAACTAGAGTTATCTTGAAGAATATTAGTTATTGTTTCGTCGACAGCCTCCAAGTTTTCGTGATTCCCATCTTTTTGAGACCCGGTAACTATGGAATTCCTGGTTGCTATTGTCTCCATGGCTTCGGCCTCTATGGTGGTTTCTGTTACGCTTTCGTTAACTTGCTGCGGTGCTACAGTAGTATGATGTGCTTCAGTTTGGCCATCTACTTCAAAGGCATCTTGTACCTCTCTGTGCCTTGCTTCTCTAAGCATTTCATTTTGTCTTTCTCCGTCAACATCATAACTGTCCCAATGCTTTAAGAAATTTCTATTGTTACTTAGATGCTCCCTAACTTCTTCTTTATCATTTGCATCCCAAGGCTCAATTGCCCTGTACTGTCCATCTACTAGCTGGACGCCGTCAAGAGCGCGAGTCCTCAAATGCTCACACATTTTAGGCAGGTGCCTGTCTGTGTTGCAGTGGCAACATTGCATCCTCCTCCCATTGAGGATTATAAGGACTCTGCTCTCCTTGTTGGCCTCATTTGTAAGTATAATATAGTGTGGGACACTCTCCACATCTTCTTTCTCCAGAGAGATGGTGAATTGGACCACATTTGATTGGTCTATTCTCTTAAATGTTGGTGTTGAGTCCTGACTGCTTATAGATTTCAGAATCGCCATTATATCATCGTCACTTGTCTTGGAAGGCAGCCATTTCAGCATGCCCCTTTGCCCAGATTTATCGGCGTGGGTTATTGATATTCTCTGCACTCTGTATCTGGATGTTACTCCAGGTGGCAAATCTCTGTGAAATTCTTTTAGGTGCATTTTCTCATATAGTTCCTTTGATCTAATGGTGACATACCATTTACGCAGTGTCCCATAGTTATACAGACCTTCAAATTCAGCTGGTGATAGGCTACATAACATACATAGCTCTCTTTTTAGTTCGTCAGCTGTGAGAGTAGCTAAAGAAAAACCCTCTTCTATGAAAATCTCTAGAGTTTTTGGCGCATGTCCTGCCATGCCAAACTTAGGCAGGAATAGCCGTTTGATGTATTTTTCCGACATAGTTGTGCGTGAGGTCCACCCGGGGCCAGGTAACACACACAAGAAATAAAAAAGAAAAAAGTACTTACAATGTATAAAATGTGAAGAAAAAAAAATAACACACACAATGTTCCAAATGGAAATACACACGAGTTTAAATAAGTAGAGATAAAATTAATCCAAAGTCACTGATTATATAATCTTTAGAAAATAGGTAAATTCTTCAACATCCAAGTTCGTGATAGATTTATATTTTAAATTTAAGAAAATTAGTAATTAGTCATACTACTATTTTCTTTTTTTGGAATTGTTAAAACATAATATCTGGTTCTGGAAAAACAATTGATATTAAGTTAACATTACACGTGAAAAACAATTGATATTAAGTTAACATTACACGTGAAACAAAAAGAGGTTAAACATTATTCATGATTTTTCAATAACCATATATAAAAGTTAACTAAATCAGAATTATAAACACTATACATTTTAACTATTAAGCATTTAGCGATTTTATACAATAAATATTAAAACGTTTTTCTGACTACGATATTCATGGCTTCACCTAAATCTAGAGCTTGGCATTTTATTCGGAAAAAATAAATCGTATGCACATATTAATTAAGTGAATTCTCAATGAAACGCTTCCAACCCTACAGCGAAAAGAGTGCTTACCCATTTTGGTTTTTTTTTTACCTCCCCCACCTTCCCCTCAGTCACATCGTCAATAAAAGCCAGACCAACCCCAACCCCCCCAAAAAAAATGACGTCACACCTCTGCCTAAAACCCACCGGTAAATGCATTTGAATTTTTCTTTAAACAATGATATTTTCCCAAAATTTTGTCTGAACTCTGTCAAAGTAGAGTATTTTAATCAATTCTGTTTACTATGTATCAAAACAGTTTTCTAAACGCGAAATAACGGCTAAAAATCGTTTTCTAACACTGCTTTTTTTCTAATGCAAAAGTGTGGCGTCACACCATCTGAACACCCCCCCCCCTCCACCATCCCCCATACAAGCGTGGCGTCATTTATAGACGACCCTTTATATAAGTATTTTATAATGAAGGCCCGTCTAATATTTGTTAATTTCTTAGGGACAGTTCATCACAAATTTTCTCTAATGATATCCATCCTTGTTTAGATAATTCAAATAGTTGACATGGCGTTATAGAAACAGTACATAAAATGAAATCAGACAGTTGGGTCCTGGGCTAGTTTCTCCAACTGTGCCTAGTTGTGACCTACTTTTATTCATGAGTCATGGGCTAGTTTCTCCAACTGTGCCTAGTTGTGACCTACTTTTATTCATGAGTCATGGGCTAGTTTCTCCAACTGTGCCTAGTTGTGACCCACTTATGAGTCCTAGGCTAGTTTCTCAACTGTCCCCAGTTTATTTTAGTAAATCACTAACAAATCGCAATTTATATTTACGTGTAAAACCTTGATTGTTTAGTCATCATTGAATTAGTACGAATCATTTGGCTAAAATGTACAGTGGAGAAAGGATATAAATATGTTTGCATACAAAAATGTAAAGAAAATATAATTGAGATAGAAATCCTGAAATCAGAGAAGGAAATTATTTTGAGCGGATAGTGAGAGTTATCATGATATAGTATTAGATTTTGTATAAACGGTCGTTTCTTTTTGAAAAGCCACAATACCAAAATTGTTTCTTTTTACTTTCTCGTATATACGAAGTATAGAGAAAGTCTTGTAATCGTGCACAAAAATCACATTAAATTTGGACAGTTTTCACCGTTTTACTCCTCAGTCCTTCATCACATCCGGGATATAGAGGACTTATTTGAATCGGGCAAAAATTATAAATCCAAATATATAAAATTTTTGGCGTTTTATGCGTAATGGAGTTGGAAAAACTGGATTATCCAATTCTGTCCGTGTGTGTGTCCGTGTGTAAACACGATAACTTGAGTACCGTTACAGCTAGGTTGATGAAATTTCATATATAAGTATTTTATCAAAATCGTAGATACGTATCAACTTTTGAGCGATTTCCGATAACCGAAAGTGGTACTTTTCCTGCTTTGAATTTTTCAAAAGCCTATAACTTGAGTACTATTTCAGATAGATAAATGAAATTTCACATGTAAGTAAAGGATCTAATTCTCTACCTTCTGTCAAATTTTGAGTAATTTCCGTTTACCGGAAGTAGTAATTTTCGCTATTTCCGATTTCTCAAAAAACGCATGTGAATTTATAAAGTACTAATAATATTGCGCACTATTATGCGCTTTTTTTATTTGGCGTTCACTTGGTGTGCAATTAATTTGTCTACGAGATTTTATTCTATTTTTAAAACTTTAAGTATTTAAAATGGATTAAAAATCATGTCTATAGCCCGAGTTCCCATCCCCTGTTATTTTATATAAGAATATTCGAGAAAGTTTAGGGGAGATCACTCCCGGTTTTTTTTTAAATGAACAAGTTATTTTTCTATAGTTTATTTGTAATTTAAAATTAACATGGGAGGTAACTTATTACTGTATTTTAATTTTTATTTTAAACATTGACATATTCCATATCAATAAAACAAATTATGTTAAGTAAATACTATACATGAAACAAAAATTTGCTAAATATTAATCATATTTATTCTGTAACTATGTATAAGAGTAAAGTAAATTATAATTATAAACTGTATTAGTTATAACTATTAAGCATTTAGCAATTTTAAATAATAAATATTAAAACATTGAATTCAATTGCGATTGGCCTGTAGTTTTTTCGTCATTGTTAAAATTCATGTTCGAAAAATTTGTATAAAAAAAAAAAAAAAGAAAAAAATTGTACAAAGGATTTAATATATCATTAAATGAACACTAAAGAACTATAACTATTTGCCATGTCCAATCTACACAACCTTCACGGCCTGTCCATTGTAATAAAAGTAATCCTCACCATTTTCAACTATGCTCAAGATGGTTCTCCCTACACCAAACAAAATCTGGATCTTGGAAATACACTATCCCACGCACCAGTTCTCACTTACCCATGACTGTAAGGTGTAGACAGTTTTCTACACCACAAAAAAGATGAACCTAGTATCAGTATTCCAGATATAGATCCATATAAATTAGTAGGCCCTGAAATGTCATGTGTAGCTCAAGATATAAGAAAGCAACTTTCCCCAAATGAACCTCAACTTAAAGCCATGTCCCATTATTACTTTGACGGAAAGGGGAAATTTTTTCGTCCTTTTGTAGCCCTTCTTACGTCTAAAGCAGGGGTCTCCAAACTTTTCAGTCCGAGGGCCGCATTAAATATAGAATTTCAGTTCGGGGGCCAGTTTCTTCCAGGCATGTCTGATTTTTCAAGGCAAAGTTCCTAAGCCATCACTAACAAACGTTTTTTCCATGGACAAAAAGATCTCCGCGGGCCGGATGAGAGGACCTCGCGGGCCGCATCCGGCCCGCGGGCCGTAGTTTGGAGACCCCTGGTCTAAAGCATGCAACAGTACAAGTTGTTTATCAGACAGTATATCGTCTAAACAAAAAATGGTTGCCATAGTTTCGGAAATGATTCATACAGCCAGTCTTGTACATGATGATGTCATTGATGCCTCAGACACACGGAGGGGGGAGGGGGCTCTCAAGTTTAAACAAAATGTATGGTCAAAGAAAATCAATTCTTGTTGGTGATTACATCGTTTATCAAGCTTCTATAGCTCTAGCATGTAGGGGGGGGGGGGGGTGGAAGCAGGCGTTGTAACTGAAATAGCAATATTAACAGAAAGTGATATTTCAACGCCAAGGGTAGACAAAGGTACAGAAAATAGTCCAAGTAAAGACAAGCAGTCAGACACCAACGGGGTTTGAAACCTACCATTCCACACGGCACCTATTTTTGTAGGGCTGAGTGGTAGAAGCGGTTACACGTCTGACTTGATGCATGGAAGGCGAAGGCGAATAGGTGCCGTGTGGAATGGTAGGTTCGAACCCCGTTGGTGTCTGACTGCTTGTCTTTACTTGGACTATTTTCTGTACCTTTGTCTACCCTTGGCGTTGAAATATCACTTTCTGTTAATATTGCTATAGCTCAAGCAAGAACAGATAATCCACGAGTTATAACTATTCTTTCCTCACTATTGGAGGACTTAGTTTCTGGTGAATTTATGCAACTTGGTTCAAAAGAGGATGAAAATGAAAGATTTTCTCATTATTTAATGAAGACTTACAAGAAAACTGCCAGTCGTTTAGCCAACACATGCAAAGCTGTTGCTGTTTTGGGAGAGTCTTTCTTCTTCTTCTTCTTCGTTCTTAATTATTAGTGTTGAAGGGGATCGAGATTTATCTGCCAGTGGGGTTAAACTCGAGACTGTTCGAATTTATCAACAATGAGCTTTTTTGCCGACTCGACCACGCCTCCAACACAATTACGCGTTACGTGTCAACTGGTTATGCGCCATTGAGGCCATCGACTCCGATTTCAGCCTGCTTTTCCTTTTGGATTTGCTTCCATAGCCTTTGTCCAACCAAGAACAAACTACAAGGCAGCAGTTGTTTAATTTTGGAGTTGTCTCTCCTAGAAGAGTGGCTGTCCCCAGCTAACGAGCCTCATCTGCCCGAGGGTTCGAACTCGAGACTTTTCGGTTTAGCAACCATGAGCTTTACCGACTCGACCTCGCCGACCCCTTTTGGGAGAGTGATGAACGAATATCTGAGTTGGCTTATCAGTATGGTAGAAATCTGGGCATTGCTTTTCAGCTTGTAGATGATCTATTAGATTTTATCTCAAGTGAATCCATTATGGGAAAACCAACGGCTGCTGATTTAAAGCTCGGCTTAACAACAACACCTGTTTTATTTGCTGCACAAGAGTTTCCTGAGTTACATCCCATGATAATGAGGAGGTTCTCTCAAGTTGGGGATGTTGAGCAGGCTAGAGAATTTGTTGCAGAGGCGTAGCGAGGGGGGGGACATATGTACCCGGGCGCCGACCTTAGGGGGGGGGCGCCAAATTGAAAGTGTGAGGGGGGTGCAAATGAAAAGTTCGAGGGGGGTGCAAATCGAAAATTTGCTCCCGAAGGGGGCGCCAAATTGAAAGTATGTCCCCGGGCGCCGGGAAGGGTCGCTACGCCTCTGCTTTGTTGCTAAGAGTGATGGCGTGGAACAGACCAAGTTACTTGCTCTTCACCATAGCCGTGAAGCTGTAAATATGTTAAAAGACTTTGCTCTATCTGACGCCCAGAGAGCCGTTATTAAGCTTGCCCAAATTCTGCTGGACAGAAAAAGTTAATGATAAAAATCTCTAGGATATATTTTAGTAGCTATTAGCTTAATCTTTTTAAATTTATTCAATTTCATTTGAAAGTTTGTGTAAATTTTGATTTAAAAAACAGAGGTAACTAAGGTGTACCTGTGACATTCATTTCAACATCAAAATATTGCACTATTTATATTGACATAATTAAATAGTTTCTTTTATATATATATACAATGCAAAAAAAATGTTGGGCTAGAATGTTTGGATCTATCTATCTTAGTGTTAAAAGAATATAGACGCAACTATTTCATGATATGCTAAATTTTGGGCTAAAATGTTAGGATCAAGCTTTCTTAGTATGTGTTTAAAGAATATAGGCACAGCTACTTTGCTAATTGTTGGGCTAGAATGGTTGGATCAAACTATTTAAGTGTGTGTTACTACAACTTGAGTTTGACAAATATTGGGCTAAAATGTTAGGATCAAGCATATGCTTGAAATATTTTTGTTGGCCTGTACTCGTTTTTTTAAACTGATGTCTGAAACTTTTAAGATATTTTATTCATGCTAGGTGTCTGTGTTAATCAATATTTAAAAATTAATTAATAGGGAAAAAAAGCTTCTGTCATGCATAATAATTTAAAGTAAACTAAATGATACAAATGTTAAAAACTACACATGTACCATTTTCAAGTATCCAACTTTTCCGGTGTGTCATTAAGTTCAGTTGAAGACTTGGTTATTCCAACTTTTCCGGTGTGTCATTAAGTTCAGTTGAAGACTTGGTTATTCCAACTTTTCCGGTGTGTCATTAAGTTCAGTTGAAGACTTGGTTATTCCAACTTTTCCGGTGTGTCATTAAGTTCAGTTGAAGACTTGGTTATTCCAACTTTTCCGGTGTGTCATTAAGTTCAGTTGAAGACTTGGTTATTCCAACTTTTCCGGTGTGTCATTAAGTTCAGTTGAAGACTTGGTTATTCCAACTTTTCCGGTGTGTCATTAAGTTCAGTTGAAGACTTGGTTATTCCAACTTTTCCGGTGTGTCATTAAGTTCAGTTGAAGACTTGGTTATTCCAACTTTTCCGGTGTGTCATTAAGTTCAGTTGAAGACTTGGTTATTCCAACTTTTCCGGTGTGTCATTAAGTTCAGTTGAAGACTTGGTTATTCCAACTTTTCCGGTGTGTCATTAAGTTCAGTTGAAGACTTGGTTATTCCAACTTTTCCGGTGTGTCATTAAGTTCAGTTGAAGACTTGGTTATTCCAACTTTTCCGGTGTGTCATTAAGTTCAGTTGAAGACTTGGTTATTCCAACTTTTCCGGTGTGTCATTAAGTTCAGTTGAAGACTTGGTTATTCCAACTTTTCCGGTGTGTCATTAAGTTCAGTTGAAGACTTGGTTATTCCGACTTTTCCGGTGTGTCATTAAGTTCAGTTGAAGACTTGGTTATTCCAACTTTTCCGGTGTGTCATTAAGTTCAGTTGAAGACTTGGTTATTCCAACTTTTCCGGTGTGTCATTAAGTTCAGTTGAAGACTTGGTTATTCCAACTTTTCCGGTGTGTCATTAAGTTCAGTTGAAGACTTGGTTATTCCAACTTTTCCGGTGTGTCATTAAGTTCAGTTGAAGACTTGGTTATTCCAACTTTTCCGGTGTGTCATTAAGTTCAGTTGAAGACTTGGTTATTCCAACTTTTCCGGTGTGTCATTAAGTTCAGTTGAAGACTTGGTTATTCCAACTTTTCCGGTGTGTCATTAAGTTCAGTTGAAGACTTGGTTATTCCAACTGTTCCGGTGTGTCATTAAGTTCAGTTGAAGACTTGGTTATTCCAACTTTTCCGGTGTGTCATTAAGTTCAGTTGAAGACTTGGTTATTCCAACTTTTCCGGTGTGTCATTAAGTTCAGTTGAAGACTTAGTTATTCCAACTTTTCCGGTGTGTCATTAAGTTCAGTTGAAGACTTGGTTATTCCAACTTTTCCGGTGTGTCATTAAGTTCAGTTGAAGACTTGGTTATTCCAACTTTTCCGGTGTGTCATTAAGTTCAGTTGAAGACTTGGTTATTCCAACTTTTCCGGTGTGTCATTAAGTTCAGTTGAAGACTTGGTTATTCCAACTGTTCCGGTGTGTCATTAAGTTCAGTTGAAGATTTGGTTATTCCAACTTTTCCGGTGTGTCATTAAGTTCAGTTGAAGACTTAGTTATTCCAACTTTTCCGGTGTGTCATTAAGTTCAGTTGAAGACTGTTGTAACATTTGCATAAAAACAAAAACTGAGATGTTGATAGCTCCTTCAGGTATAGTGTAGTAAACATTTTTTCTTGCTGTAAGATATGTATATATATATATATATATATATATATATATATATATATATATATATATATATATATATATATATATAAAACATGAATAGAGGTCATACTTTTTAAAAAATTAGTGTTAATAAAAGTTAGTAAGTTATAAAACACAACACAGCATTTCTCCTTCATTCTCCATGTATAAATATCCCCAGAACTGCTCGTGTTTTAATCAACCATGCTATTAAGTAGTTAAATCCCTTTTACTTTCCTTCTTCTTCGCTTTTAACTGCATTGTTGGATGGTATTCCATCCAACACAATTAAGTATAGGTGTCAGATATAGACCATTTAGGCCATTGACTCCGATTTCAGCCTGCTTTTTTTTTTTTGGATTTGCTTCCATAGCCTTTGTCCAACCAAGAACAAGCTACAAGACAGCAGTAGCTTGATTTTAGAGTTATCTCTCCTAGACGAGTTCTGCCCGAGGTTTTTAACTCGGGACTTTTCGGCCAAGAGCTTCACTAGTGTTTCTTTCAGACTTTATTTTCTCCGGGGGGGGGGGGGCGGCACTTGAAACTTTGGGGAGAGGGCGGACTATATTTTCCAGGGAGGGGGGATTGGCCATTGGTAAATGTATATATTTTCTATTATAAATTCTATTTCGTTCTATTTTCGTTACTGTAAAAATCAGTCAAGTGAGACTACTTGTCTCGTTTACTTTAGCCTTTTTTTTAAATCAGTGGCATCCGATGAAGTATCTTTGTAAAATTGAATGTATTGGCGAGTGACGTTCTTAGAGGAGAATGAGCGGTGAAATGACACTCTGCTTTACCAACCCACCCCCCCCCCCCCCCCACCCCCATCATCACATTTTAAAACCTGCATTAACTATTGCTGTAAACAACATCATGATCATGTCTTCGCTCCCACATATCCCACAAGCTTACAACAGCACATACAACATCACTTCTTGTCTCCTAGCTAACAACATCACATACAACATCAATGGATTAATCCTGGATAACAACAGCATATACAACATCATTTCATTAATCCCGGATAACAACATCACATACAACATCATTTATTTTATCATGGAATACGACATGACATACAACATCACTTCTTTTATCCTAGCTAACAACATAACATACAACATCACTGATCCTGGCTAACAACAACATCACATACAACATCATTTATTTTATCATGGATTACAACATCACATACAACATCACTTCTGTAATTCTCGCTAACAACATCACATACAACATAATTTATTTGATCATGGATTACAAAATCACATACAACATCACTTATCCTGTTAATAACAACATCACATACAACATCATTTATTTTATCATGGAATACGACATGACATACAACATCACTTCTTTTATCCTAGCTAACAACATCACATACAACATCACTGATCCTGGCTAACAACAACATCACATACAGCATAATTTATTTTATCATGGATTACAACATCACATACAACATCACTTCTGTAATTCTAGCTAACAACATCACATACAACATAATTTATTTTATCATGGATTACAACATCACATACAACACCACTTCTTTAACCCTGGCTAACAACATCACAAAATTAATCCCTGCATACACCACATATTTAATCTTAGCCACCACAACATAATCAACACACTCTCTCATTTATATCTACCTACATAAAATTACACCCTCATCCTCCTTCATGTTTTAACGAAATAAAAGACTCGACATTTCCCTCTTTAACTCAACCTCCGCATCAACCCAGTGTCCTGCACATCAAAGAGTACCCTGCCTTTCATTTCCCCTACCGTCCGTGTCTTGGGCCTTAGCTGCCCTTACCCCGGGGCACAACCCCCACCGGGGTAACTGCTGGTGCACGGGGGCTCACCACTGTCATTATCTGCCCTTTATACCACGCCCTCTTTGGACGCCATTATCAATAACCTAATGAAGGGAAGATAATGATAGTTCCAGGGGCAGGTAATAACCCACCTGAGGAAGCAATCAAGCTAATAAGTTACCGCCCTTAATTCAGCAGCCCAGGTACCCGTTAGGGGACTTCAGAAATATTTTCTACCTGCTTGTATTGATTTTTTTTTTATTTAAATCGAAGCCAGGGGATAAACGCGGTAGAATTTTGTTATTGATTTTTGTTTTCTTTTACATGTCGGGGAAAAGTAGTTATCGGATGATCGAACTCATTAAATCAGATGCAGGTATTTTATTAGAAGCTGATTAGAAGAAGAAGAAAAACACGATTCGGATGAACAGATTTGAATTTAAACAATCCACTCCATCTGGTTTGTGGTGCTCGAATATGAGTGACGTTACAGGGGCTGATTTTGTCGTTGGGTAAAGTGGTCGAGTGGTAACGCACTCGAGGTCAACCCCGGAAGTTTAAGTTTATAACTACCCGGTGTTCAACACTTTTAGGGGTGTTTCGCATACTAGCCACCCCTAACATAAACTGATGGGAAGGGGGAGAGGAGGGGTGTTGTTTATTAACAAGATTTCTCGAGCGGAGCCATGCAAACGAGATTTCAGTCGCCCATTTCTACCAAACTGATTTCTTTCAAACTTCAAACGTAGATCTACGTTGTTTGTAGGCCTATTACATTTTTAATGTACCTACTAATTTCTAAATATTCGTTCATTCGTTTATTCGTTCATTCGTTCATTCGTTCATTCGTTCATTCGTTCATTCGTTCATTCGTTCATT